CAGTGAAAGTCTATCCGGAACATTTTCAAAAGTTAAGTTGAAAAAGTTCTACTTTCTATACGCATTTTAAAAGGTTTGCAGCCCCCCCCCCCTGTATATAGGGGAATGGTCCGATTTCAAAAAAATGTATTTCAAATGAAAGAAGTATATATAAAGTATTTAACATTAAAGAATAAAATTGATTCATGCATTTTTTTAAAAAGTTATAGCATCATAATATTAAAATTCTCAGCTTCGCATCGAAGCTAAAATGTAAAATATAATATCAAGAATTTTTTCACAAAAATTGCATATTTTTGCTTACGGTAGTCATTTGCACCATGAAGACAAGTCCAGAGGTCAATTTTTTTTTTCAAATTAAAGTATATTACATTAGCTTTAAATTAAGATATATATAAAAGTGTCAGACTTTCCGAAACACTTTCAAAAATTAAGTATAAATGTAATGATTTTGTGAAAAAGTTGTCATTTTAAATCCCCCCCCCGTGGGCAGATAAAGGGTCAGATTTACAAAAAAAATATACCAAATGATAAGTAAAGACATCAAGACATTTTCCAAAAAGTTATAGCATTATTAAGTTAAAAATATAAAAAAGAATTATTTTACAAAAATCGTAATTTTTTATTAACTTTAATGTCTATTTTCACCACGAAGACAAGAGGTCAAATTTTTTTTTTCAAATTAGAGTATATTACATTACCTTTAATTTAAGATATATATAAAAGTGTCAGACTTTCCGGAACACTTTCAAAAGTTAAGTTGAAAAAGTTCTACTTTCTATACGCATTTTAAAAGGTTTGCAGCCCCCCCCCCCTGTATATAGGGGAATGGTCCGATTTCAAAAAAATGTATTTCAAATGAAAGAAGTATATATAAAGTATTTAACATTAAAGAATAAAATTGATTCATGCATTTTTTTAAAAAGTTATAGCATCATAATATTAAAATTCTCAGCTTCGCATCGAAGCTAAAATGTAAAATATAATATCAAGAATTTTTTCACAAAAATTGCATATTTTTGCTTACGGTAGTCATTTGCACCATGAAGACAAGTCCAGAGGTCAATTTTTTTTTTCAAATTAAAGTATATTACATTAGCTTTAAATTAAGATATATATAAAAGTGTCAGACTTTCCGAAACACTTTCAAAAATTAAGTATAAATGTAATGATTTTGTGAAAAAGTTGTCATTTTAAATCCCCCCCCCGTGGGCAGATAAAGGGTCAGATTTACAAAAAAAATATACCAAATGATAAGTAAAGACATCAAGACATTTTCCAAAAAGTTATAGCATTATTAAGTTAAAAATATAAAAAAGAATTATTTTACAAAAATCGTAATTTTTTATTAACTTTAATGTCTATTTTCACCACGAAGACAAGAGGTCAAATTTTTTTTTTCAAATTAGAGTATATTACATTACCTTTAATTTAAGATATATATAAAAGTGTCAGACTTTCCGGAACACTTTCAAAAGTTAAGTTGAAAAAGTTCTACTTTCTATATGCATTTTTTATATTTAAAGCCCCCCCGTATATTGGGAAATGGTCTGATTTAAAAAAAAAGTATGTCAAAGAAAAGATGTATATAAATACTACTTTTCATGAAAAAATCGTTTTGATCCATACATTTTTTAAAAAGTTATAGCATTTTAAGTAAAAAATGTAAAATACAAAATTGAGAAATTTCACACAAAAATAGCATTTGTTAGCCATTTTCACCACGAAGACAAGTCCAGAGGTCAAATTTTTTTTTCTATAATAAAGTACATTTCATTAGCTTTAATTTAAAATATATATGTAAGTGTCAGTCCTTCCGTAACACTTTCAAAAGTTAAGTTGAAAAGTTTAAATTTTTGTGAAAAAGTTGTCATTTTAAATCCCCTCCTGTAAGCAGGTAAAGGGTTACATTTATGAAAAAAATTATATTGATTTGTTCATTTTTAAAAAAGTTATGGCAATTTTAATTAAATAATTGAAAAAATGTCGAAAATTAGCGATTTTTACATTTGTAATTTTTTTAGAGATTCCTCCTATTTACGGGGAGCGAAGGAAACTGTTTCAATTTTTGAGGATAATGTCTTTGACTAGTTACGATTTGTGATTTTTTGGTGTATCGTTGAAAGAAATCGGTTCGGTGAGAGCTGAGAAAAAGTGGTAACAGACACAAAAAAAACACATTGTAAAACCAATACTTTCTCAGCTTTGCATCGAAGCTAAAAAGTAATATTGATGATACGCTGTATCATTGAAAAATCGAGAAATATGTAGAAGTAAATAGCCAAAAAATGATTGAAATTATTTTTATTTTGTAAGTAATTAAGCGGTTTATGATAGACGGATCGCTCAGCAATATAACAACTACAGAATAATAACATATATCGTAACTGGCCTAATAAACTAAATATTCACAATAAATAAACACAGTCTGCATTAATTAAAGTTGTATCTTTATAGCATTTAAAATTGAGTAATTTTATTAATTTATGGTGCATGGTCAATCCTTATAATTTTAGTTTTGATTTTAATTTAAAATGAGCAATCAAAATACCATTTAATTACAAGGCCTTTATAGTTTTTTAACTTAAGTTTAATTTAGTTGGTATGTTATTTTTGATATCATTAAAAGTATTGTAATATTAGAGAAAATATAATGACTGGTATCATGATCCAATATTAAAATGTCATTTACAATGAATAAAATCAGTTTTAAGGTTCAATATATTTCTAAATGTTTAATAGTTATACGAGTTACAGGAGTTGTATGAAAGGGTGGTATAAATTGACACTTATAGCTTTATTTGAATATTAAAAAAAAAAAAGTATTCATTAAAACAATTTGAAATTTAGTAAAAATACTATTTGGTGTATTGAGATCGATTGGTTAAAAGCTGATTAATTAATATTTATTTTTTTTAAGAATTATTAATAAATTAGAAAAAATTCAAATATGTCATCTTGCTCCAGGCGTTGGACAAGTTACATACTTGAGCTTAATTTATGATATGCTTTAGAAATTTAATATATATATTCTCTCATTTTACAGAGAGTCTAGATCCCCTATTTTCTATTCCATAAAAATGTAACATGACAAATATGACTTTTTTAATATATTTTTTTTATTAGTAAATAATATAATAGTATAATTCTCAATAAGGTTCCCTATTAAACTTAATAAAAATACAAAATACAAAATTTTAATATGTTATTTTAAGTACAAACATTATTTAGTTAATCAAAACAAATTATAAATAGAAATATCTTTCGTATAAATGTAGTGTAGAAAATTATATCTGATACAAGGACTTCGTTTTGAAACGATTCTAGAAATTCTCCGAATATAAGTTTTGACAAAATCTTTTAGAAATATAAAAGCTCTTTTAAAATGACATAATTTATATTTTAGAGTATCTGGCTGTACACTATATATGAAAATAATATTTGCCGGAAGCTAAAAATCTAGTGTTGTAGAGATATTAAAAAATAAGTAATGCTTCACTAAAGATTCAACATAAATGCTTTGATAATCATCGAAATCTAGAAGTACATTAACATATATTTTGCTTGTTTTCAATTATTTATTTATTTTTCCTAAGTATACAATACTAGGTAAAACTCTTTTTAAACACAAAGATGTAAACAATGTGGAAAACAAATATAATATATTCAAATTAAATAATATAACATAATATTATAATATACAGATTGATTTATTAACCATACTACCCTCAATTTAACAATTATACAAATGATTTATTATACAATTGTCATATGTATAATTTAAATATATTATCGTATTTGTCGTTAAAAATATATAGTGTTCAGTAAAAAAACGGGATTTTCTTGTTTTTATTTTTTGTAACAATTAATCAATTTCTTTACTTACTGAATACTCTATATAACATTGTACTTTACTATTACTTCAATTATTTCAAAATAAAATAATACTAGAAATATTAGTTTCCTCTAATTTTTTTACTAGCGGAAATTTTGTGCACTTAATATTTACTCAAAGTAAAAATACTTTATAAAAACGATAGCACAGAAATAATTTCTATGTAACTTTAGCTGTTTAAAAAGATTCTACAATTGAAATATTCAGAACTAAATTAATGTTTTACTTTAATTAAAATTACCAATAAAAAAGTTGCTAATCAAATTTACTCAATTGAGCGTATTATTAAATTTGAATAAAATTCTTGAAAGCCATTGTTAAATTCATAAATCATAAAAACTTTTCGATGCAAATCTGTAGTTAGACATTAATTTTAAGAAATTGGTTGATTATTCTAAAAGCAAAATTAACTCCTTTTTCTATCATTATTCATAATTAAAAAAACTCAACGTAGTATGTGTTTAATATTTAATAATATAATAATGTAATTTTTACGGAATATTTATAAAAAATTATAAAGTAGTAATTAATTTTTAATTTAAGATACATATAAAAGTGTCAGTATTTCCGGAACACAATCAAAAGTTAATTTTTTGTGATATGTTGTCATATTAAATCCCCCCCTATGGACAGGTAAAGTGTCAGATTTATAAAAAATATATACAAAATGATATCTTTATTATCTCATGTATCATTAAAAAATATATACGATATTGATTTGGTAATTTTTAAAAAAAGTTTTAATTAAATAATTGAAAAAATGTCAAAAATTAGCGATTTTTACATTTGTAATTTTTTTGGAGATTCCTTCTATTTACGGGGAACGAAGAAAATTGTTTCAATTTTTGAGGATAATGTCTTTGACTAGTTACGATTTGTGATTTTTTGGCGTATCGTTGGAAGAAATCGGTTTCTGTAAGAGCTGAGAAAAAGTGGTAACAGACACAAAACAAAAAAATAATAATAATAAAAAACACATTATAGTAAAATTAATACCTTCTTAGCTTTGCAACAAAGCTAAAAAAAGTTGATTTTTTTTATTAAATTTATTGAAATTAGTTATGTTATAAGTAATTATATTGATTGCGCATCACCATCACTGAATTTACAATGCGACTAGTGGTTTATGAGAACCCAGTTCATTAGAATTTTGATTCGCCGCGACATATGCTTCAGAGTTATCAACATGAATTTCGTCATATGAAGTACCACTGCTGATCGTTTCTAGCTCTACAGTTTATTTTTAATTTTAAAGTAGATAGATTATAAAGTGTTCCATTAAAAATTAATAAAATATATAAAATATTATTAGAACTTCTTAAATTTCTAATTAAGAGTATTTTTTTGTTTTAAATAAATTTTAAAGTAATCTTTTTTGCTTTTATTTAAATAATTTATTATCTGTGCCGAGATACAACTAAGCTTTCCTTTTTTTCTTGACATTGGTAAAAATTGTTTGTCCTCCTAAATTGTGATCATATCCAGGACATTTAAGTATGATATATCAAATAAATCGTTAACTATTCACTGAACGTGATTACTTTTTTTAACTGTACTTCAGTAACTGTTTTATGACTTTTGCAACTTCCTTAGGTTTGCATTACTTTTTTCAAGATTTGAAATGCAATATTGCTCATCAATTAAAAGGAATTCTAGCATTTTTTAAAATTTTAAATAAAATTAGTTCTCTAACAACAAATTTAGTGCTCTCGTACAAATTTAATTGAACATGTCGCAAGTTGTAAAATAGTACGCGTAATATTTGTTTATTAAATGGCAATTTATTTCCAACACTTTGATTTTGCACATGTCCAACTCAATACATTTCGCCTTGTGACCGAAGGTTGTCTTTAAATGAATAATTAATATTTTTAAAACATTAAAAAAGAGGTACAAAGTTAAGATTTCATAAATAAAAATACTTAAACAGAAATATAAAACATGTATACTAATACAAAAATTATACTTCACGCAAAGTGAACTAAACTAAATAGTAAATAATGGTCATAGTGTATGATAATTTTTACGATTACCTCAATACATAATAATCTGATTGCGGTAATTTTGAGTTAAATTAATATAGAGTTGAGCTAGAGAAATAATTACATGCGACTTAATATAATAAGTAAAGTCGTGCAGGTTTAAGTGCGTACACGGATACTTATGCATACACATGCTATTAGTGACATCAACTACATAATTCATCGCAACCGAATAATCGTCTTATTAGGATAATCAGAGGTAAGTGAAAACATTTATTTATATAACAAATCTATAATAATACTTTCACCGAAGGATTTTTAGTAATTAACAATTAGAGTGTGGTAGGTCGTCGAAAATGAATTGAATATAATAATTGCATAAAAGACACGATATTCACAAATCATATAAATTCGTTAGTATATTTTTGTACAGGAGCTAAATATTATCTTTTTGTTGCCCTTTTATTTTGTGCTCACATATTTCATACGTGCTTCTGTTGGCATACATACACCGAGATTATACCTTTTATTTCATTATTGTCGGTAATCGTTTTCCAGCCATCACAGAGACTACGCCACTACAAACAACCAACCACTCTTACTTTTTGTTTATTACACACGGAGTTTGTAAAACCATAAAAATATTACAGTAATGGTTGTAAAATATATTATTATTAAAACTTATGAGCAATCCCTTGATTTCTGAGGTTTTGCACTAACTAGTACTCGTTGAATAACCCTATTTATATAAATATATGTATACCAGTTTATTTAAACTCCAATGCTTAAGCTAAAAATTGTTTAACGTCCTTGAGTTATTGCCTTAGTAAGTAGTACAGTTTTCAACATCTTACAATTTTAATGATTGTTGAATTTTATGATTAAAACAATTTAATTTACCACCAATTTGCATAGTAAAAGAAACGTATGTCATTAAATTAGTTAAAACTAAGTATTATACTATACATTAATGTTTAACAAAATCTTAGTTGTAATTTAATATTATAATTTACTTTATTATGGTTGCCTTTTGTGACTTAAAGTCTTTTTAATCTAATTTAAAATTTATAATTCATATAAATATTATGTATTAAGTACACTGAAATTTTAACTATTACTCTAAAATTTCCATTAACTCATGTAAATTCAGGTAAATTTTAGTTATTTACAAAAATTTATAGCTTACATCTTTCAATACTGCAAAACATTTTTGGCTGTTTTAAATAAAAAATTTCAATTTGTTACCAATTTTATTAATTTATATCAACGAATAATTTACTTTCAAAAACAATTTTGTAGCTCAGGAAAATATTCTTAGGAAAATACGATGTTTGGCTGTTAAATATAGTATAATGATTCCTCCAAAATAATTTTTTTGAATTTGCCCTTTTTGAATATGATAAAAATATGGCCATTGTTTATTTTTATTTTGAATCAGGGGTCAGCCTGGCCTAGAGGGTAGAAACATATATTTCGGGCACGAGGTCTTGGGTTCGATCTCTAGGGTGCCAACGAGATTTTTCTTATTATCTGGAGAGAGCCACCAGCCTCTGTATCATGTTAAGTTCGGGAAGTAATAGAATGTAAAACTGATCATTTTTTTCAATATATTTCTATTTTGTCTCATTTTAAACTGATTCAAGTAAATTAAATTCAGTAAATAGTTTTTAAATATATGTATAAGAAATAATACATCTTTGTTAAATGTCTTCAAAATTTTATTTTGTAAGATGACTTTGTTTAATAAATGTTCGACATTTATTTATTTAAATAAATAAGGATTACAAATGATACGTAAAACACGAATGAAGTAATAAGTATTTTTTTTTGGTATATAAAATTATTCTATCGAAAAATCAATTTTATGTGTTTTTGAAGCAATGGCCATTAAGTTAGGTAGTTTAGTTATAACTTTTATGTTATTTTTTTAAGGAGATCTTCTTTTTCCATACAATACTTAATGAAAAACGTTTAGTTCGGGCAATAAACCATTTTGTAACTACTACCGTGAGAATTAACATGTATGCTAAACAATACACTATGTTATATATTAATATATTTTTACTGAACGGTCAAGTGAAAAGGCCAACACACAACTAATGATACCAGAAAAATGTAAAAATGCTAAGACGATGGGGTTAGTAAAGTCGTGGAAAGAATTTGGTAGGGGACGGGGTAGCGACAGCAGCGTCTACCCAGTCAAACCAGTTATGGCATATAATGCAGTCGAACACCCCGGACACATACACCGTCACAGCATCGCCAAAGACCTGCAGAACATACAGATTGGTTCAATCGTTACGATTCTATTTTTACATACGCGAACATATCCAGTGGTTCCCAGCTAAAAAACTGCAATAAATGTAAAACACTTATAATTCTACAAATTTTTAACTATTAAACAGTATTAAATAATTAGTGTAAAAAAATCCTCTGAGTATTTTTTAACAAAAAGTTTAGACGATTTTTAAATCAAAAAGCATATACATAATGCATTGTTTAAAACAAAAATTAACTTAAATGAATATATATAAATATATAAACAAACTCTTATGTATGAAGCAATTAAGTAATTCGCGTTTGGCACGTGAATAAAACGTCAAATAATAGTTCTTTGATGTTTAATATTTAAAAAAAAACAGCATAGTATTTCCACAGCGTATTTAGGACAAGTATAGATGATAGTGACAATGATTAAAATTGATATCATAAAAAAAGGTTTAATGAAAATCTATAAATTGTGCTTTATATATACGTATTGAATATACATTAAAAACTGCAAACATCTAGCTGAAAATAATTATAATTAACACATATATTATTATTATTTTTTTGTAGAAGGAGGGGATTAAATGTGGATAATTACTACCCCATCTATATGATTATACTGTTTGACTTATAGTACAGGCATAAATAATTAACATAATGAACGAGGATTTTTATACAAAATATTATTTTTTTGTTTAATTTAAGGCCATTTTACATATTAATCACAAATTGTCAGATCAACTTTTTTTGGTTAACTTGTAGTTAATAATATAACCTTTTATTTAACATATGTCTAAATAATTAAATTATTATTACATAATAAATTAAATTAAATAATTTAATATACGTTTAAGTTGTGTTGGAAAACTTCTACTTTTTATATATATGTATTAAGTTTTGAACCACTCTATATATGGTGAAATAGTCTGAATTTTAAAAAAAGTATGTCGGATGGAAGGGACACGTATAAAGCTCTTATAAAAAAAATTGTATTGATCCATATATTTTGTAAAAAGTTAGAGTAATATAAAGTTGAAGGTATAAAATATAAAATCGAGAAATTTAAAGCAAAAATAACATAATTTTAAATTACAGAAGCATGGAAGATTAAGTGTTGGAAAAATGATTTTTTTATAGTAGGTAGCATAAACTTCAATTTGACATGTTTCTAGGTTGTATTATTTTTGGAACCTTTTTAAAAGTTAATCTGAAAAATTTTATTTTTCATACGAAAATTGCTTTTTGTAATATTTGCCTAATAAAAAAGAATCATCTAATGTACTTATAAAAACAAATTGAAACATAATTCTTTTAAAAAATTACGGAAGTTTTAATTATAAGTAATTTTTCATAGAATTTCCCAATTAATAGAGAACGAGAAAAAATGTTTCAATTTTTGAGGGTAAATTCTTCTTTAATTTAACTTAAGTATCAGTTAAGGTCAATTAGTTCACTGCTAAAAAAAAATCTTGTTATATTGTTCTGTAAATTTAGATAAAATTCAACAAAAAAATCATATTTTTTAATTTTCTCAGATATGTTTTTTTATTTTTATACAGGCAACAGATTTCAGGCAACGAGTGTGGCCAGCGGTAAAATGTTAATATAAAATGCATATTTTAACAAACTTTATCATATTGCAAATTTATTTTATACTACTTAAAAATACTAAGGCAGTTTCATTTTTAACGTTTTTATTTTGCACTCAAACAAGCCCTCGGGATTATTTAGTGATGGCTTGGAAGATTTTGAGTTTCTATTCCCTTTAAACCATTGTACATAGTTAATATTATAATCATAAAGAATTTTTTTAACATTCAACCGAATTTCACCGGAAATCGTATTATTATACAAACATGTTCATTCATCACATGGTTCAACACGATGTAACACGTTATGTATTAGAGATCAACATTTGCTTACACAAAATTGATCAGTTTTCATTGTTTATTTATTCAAAAGATTCGTATAAAAAAAACAAAAGAATCCAATAATGTATATAAGTTGGGATTACAATATTATTACTTTTAACCAGCGAGTAACACGACTTCGATACATAATCCAGCGTTAATTTAACAAAGGGTTTTTTATAATCGACAGTTCAGACTATCTTATAAAACATTTTTAGCGTTTTCACTTAGCACACAAACTACTCATGTCATTCATGTGTCATAAATGAAAAATTTAAATACATATGTAACATCTAATAATCTATATATTAGGTACATAGACGCAATAATGTTTTGAACTTAGTAAAATACACATACTACACCGATAACATTGCACACTTAGAATATTAAAAATCAAGATTAAGAAAATATAGTAATTATTTATATACGAGGTGTGATCAAAAAATACCCGAACTGTGTTAATAATATTTATATCAATTAAGATAACGAAATCCCGATAATTTAATTCGATAAAGTAACTTCTAACGAGAATTTGAGCATTGGTTTGAAATCGATAACAATATTGGGCCTCGGTCTCTTAACCAATGAACAAAAACAAAACCAAACAAATTTGGCTGCGATTCGGCTCATACCCAATTCTTTGGTTAATATTTTTTGGCAAGAACCATAAGATATTCCGACGTCTTCTGCAACTTCTCTGATAGTTAATCGACGATTATTTCGAATAATTTCACGAACACGAGCAACAATTTCATTTGTTTTACTGGTCGATGGTCTACCAGATCGCTCGTTATCCTTAGTGGATGACCTACCTTCCTTAAACCGTTTAAACCACTCAAAACATGTTGTCCGAGACAGAACATCATCTCCAAAAGCTTGCTTCAAAAGTTTAAAAGTTTCACTAGAACTTTTCCCTAATTTAAAACAAAATTTTACACACACACGTTGTTCTTCTATTGTTTCCATTTCAAAAATCGACGCATGACTGAAACATGTTTTCGTAAAAATGCCATAAAATAAAAATAAATATTGTTATCGATTTCAAACCAATGCTCAAATTCTCGTTAGAAGTTACTTTATCGAATTAAATTATCGGGATTTCGTTATCTTAATTGATATAAATATTATTAACACAGTTCGGGTATTTTTTGATCACACCTCGTATATNAGTCCGGGTATTTTTTGATCACACCTCGTAGTACTATAAGAAAGTGTTTTATTTTTCATTAATTTTTTTTAAAAGAATGGTGGCTAATAATTGCTAAGTAGCCAAAGCACCCCCTTATTTGCACCTATTATCAGGCGGATATCTTGTTTAATAAAGCATCTTTTTGTTTTCTAACCAAAAGAAAGTTTTTATAACCGTTTACAAAATTATTCATGAAATATTGTTTATGAACTACCAATTTCAATAATTAATGATAGATTAGCAAAATACTTAAAAAAAAGTGACATTGAACAGTAAAAAAAAAATATATTTGCCATCCGGTTTAGGATTTATTAGCCTACAATGACGTAAACCTTTGTGTGTATATATACTGTATTTAAATCTACTGTATGTGCATATAAATAAATATTAAAGATTTATAATTTAATATTCTAATCGAAATGTTCAAGGTCGTTTGTACGTAATTATTACATTTGAGAGCTATTAATATCAAGAAAGAGAAAGACTATTTATTTACATAGATCTGTTTTACTATTTCTAGTAATCATAAAGCACATTTAGTGCAATTTTTTTTTTACTGTTATTTTAACTTGAGCTGAACAGAAAAAATCTTTGAACTCAAAGCATTTGATTGGTAACATCAATAATTGATCAAATTATTTGATTGTTGAAAAATTAATATATCACATTACAGTTACAATTATAAATTCTCAGCTTCGCATCGAAGCTAAAAACAGCATTATTATAATAATACAAGAAAGAAAGTTGATAGAACATCTTCTTTCAAATGTTAATTAATTATTATAAGTATTACTATAAGTCTCAATTAATAGGTACTTAATTTAAATCTAACAATTTTTCAATATTATATTTCACTTCTAATATTTAGGTGAACTGTTCATTGCTTCATTTCTTAATGGTGAGTTCAATACTTTTTACCGTGTTTCTCGATAAACTTCAACAAATTAAATAATAATTTGCTTCTCCGTGAATTCCTATATTAAATTTTATTTAATTTTAAATCTGTTGAGTTTGTATAAATGGTTTTGCTGAAAAACGATCTGCTTATATTGTCATCAATTTTCAGATTATATACATTGTATTTGTACTAGTAATTTAAAATTTGATACACACATATAGTGTGATCTGTAATTTGAATTATTCGCAAAAAATTATGCTTCCTCTATAAATGTAAAACATTGATTAGGATAATTTCTCTTTATCACCTACAAATAATACTTTTAAAAAACATTTGCTACACAGGCGAATCATTCCTCTTCTTTTCAGGAAGATTTGATATATTTTTATTATGTAAAGGACAATTTTATTTCTTCAAAATTTAATAATTATGTAAGTGAAAGATAAACAATATCATAAACGTCGTTATAAGTCCAGAAGAGAATTTTCTGGCTTCATTTTAATAACTTTTTTGGCTAGTTTATCAGACAACATATCTAATTACAAAACGACTGCAAAATTTTGTGATGGAATTAGATAGAAAATAACTGTGACAATATGATTGATCTAAGAACATATTCAAATTTATTGGTAAAACTTTTTATATAATTTTATGCTTAGTGATGATTTTTACAATACAAAATAAAACTTAAAATTTAAGTTTGTTAAGTTATCTGAATTTGTGTACCCAAAAATCAAATCCAGTAAAATACACAAGATTAACTTATCAACAAACATGTTTTACTAATTTGTTTAAAAGTAATTTGAAATACTACTCCTAAGTAGAATTCCTTTTTCATATTGTTTTTTGTAGTATTGATTAGTGTATAACCACTATAACTAATTTTAATTTGACCATGTCTTTTTAACAATCATTAATATAAAAAATAAATAATTTTTTGGCCGTTAAATACGTAATTTTATAAACAACGGCTACAGTTTTATAAATATATTATACCTCACTTTATAATATAAACAGTTTTAAGATTTTTTTATAAAGTGTTCTTCCCACAAAACGTTTCTCAGTTAATCTTTGATTATTTTGTTGCTACTGTCTCGCCATAGTCACTAGTTAGGTTGTTATATTGGAATTCTAGTGAGTATATACATTACATGTTTTAATTCTGATAACCACTGATCGGCATAATACATTACCGCATATTATGTTCCTCATTTTCATTTGCCGTTTGCATTGTCTCGAAGACGAGATTTTTTTCTACAAGACAAAAGAACAGGTTTTCTCACATGTGCGTGCGTACACTACATTTTATGCACAATATATGTACAGCGAATTTGAGTATTGAAAAAAAATATTTGCAACTGCTTTCTTTATATTGTGTCGTAGCACAGGTTCATATTCATTTTTTTCTTGCTATTGCACCAACTCCTTTCAGTAACTACCACCATTTTTAAAAACTAACAGATTATTATAATGTGCAATATAGGTAAAACTTTTCATAGCTTTCTATTCCCCTTTGTGATGCTTTATGCGCTGAGCACACATTATTGGTGAGCTAATAAAACACGTATAGTCAAAATACATTTTCTTTGATACAATTATACTAGTGAAATATTACAAAACAATATAATAAAGTTATCTGATAAAGTGTTTCTAGATGACACAATGTAGAAATTTTATTGATTGGTTCACGTATTATGTGAAAATTAAATAATGACGTAAAATCGAATATTTGGATTATTAACATTTTTTCAATCTATTGAAAGGTTTTAGTTGAAACGATTTTTTTTTTACTCAAAGAACATAAATTAATAAATTATAATGTATAAAAATTAGCAGCTACCAAGTACTTTGATATACTTAATTAAAGATTATTTTTATTAAACATATTAACTATACTTAACAAACAAATTTATTTTCAATGTATCAAAACATGTGATCCTATAAAGTCAATAATGTAGTCTTTGTACAAAAAGGAAACTGCATTTTTGCACTTAAATTTAAAAATGCTTACATCCCAAATTTTTGTATATAAAAAATTATAGTAAAACATTCATCTCAGTTCAGAAGGTCAAACAAAAACTCAAACGCTTTGAAAGATGCTGAACAGTGATTTTGCAATTAGTCGGAACAATTAAATGATCTGTGAACAAAATGCAGTCTAGTTTTCTGTTACCATTATCAAAATGTTACTTGTAAAACTATAATGTACATTTCTTTAAATTTTTGTGTAATTACAGTGATTAATTGGAGTTTTACCATCATTACAATAAAAATAGAAGTGATTTAGAAATGTTTTCATTAAAATTATCATATTTTTTCTTTATTAATACGTTTCGGAGAAAAAAATCAATTTCGGTAAAATTGTAAGTAATTCTTAATTTTTATAAAATTATTTATATATTTTTATTTTATTATTGTTATTAATAGATTAGAAATTCTTCTTAAATAAGCAATCAACTTTAAACATATTTAAAATATTTAGTGACTTATAGTAACCGAATATATATAACTAATATTTTATAAGGTATTCCAGTGACTATTTATTATATTTTTATAGCTATATTACAGTGACAGATCTTGGGGGCTGGTACTCGGCCCCTTTTATGACTATAATTACCCACAATAAAAATGTATTTAAAAAGTTAAAATAAGTAAAAAAATTGATTGTCACGTCTAAAATATTGTTGTGTCCCTCTCTTGAAAAAATTAGCCGCTGTTATATTACTCATTTACAAAGCATCAAAATTCATGAATTTAATCGACATAAAAAGAAGAGTCCACTGCATTAGATCCTATAAAACTAGGAAGCCTTTCTAATAATTAGAAAATTATTTTCATAAATATTGATTTTTTGTCATTTGCAAAAATATTTATATGTTACAGCTTTAAAAATAATAATAAAATTATATACTTTTTATTATAAAGAGAGCACCATTTGAGTCAATTATTATATATACATATCTGTGGCAATTTTCCAACAGTTGATGTGTCACTTTTAATAACTTTTTGGAGAGCAAAGCTAATTTCAATATTACAATTGTGTTTTATAGATTGATATTTTTGATGTGCATAAATAAAAATTAAATTAAATTGTCTCGAAATTTGTTAAAAATATGACAGAAAACATCAATATATATAAAATTTAAAAATAAGCTGGAAAGTCCATTTTGTGACATAGTTTCTATTGAGCAGTAGTTGTTTTTGTAAAAAAAAACAGAGAAGCATGTATTCTTTTACTGACTTACGAGTACCAAATCGAAAGATTAATGTTTGATCACAATTTTTATAAAAATATCAATTTTATTAAAAATTGTACACTAATTGTAATGATTTTAAAGTAATTTAATTTCAAAATAAATTTGTATTATATGTTTTAATTCCAATAATGAATTAAAAAATATTTATTCTTTTAAAGATTATTATTTATGCATAGGATAAATAATATTGTTTAAATAAAAATAATCTTTTTCTGGCCTAGCATCTAAAAAGTTTTAACTGAAGCATTTTTTTTATTTACTAAAAAGTGATATTAAAATACTAATAATTTAGTTGAATAGATAATAATGTATTTAAAAATAATGGTCATAAACGTGTATCTTTTAAATTTGAAGGTGGATTATATACAGGTGCTTATTTTAACGTTGTCTATTAAATGCATCTTAAAATAATAATTATTTTTACAAGTTTTTTTTTAGCTTTTCTTATTAATACATATATCTACTTAATTGTCATAAATAATTTTTAGGTCCATTCTTCATGTCTAATAACAAAATCAACTTAATATTTTTTAACGGCAACATACATGTTTAACTATATTATGCGTTAAAAAATTTTGATCGATAGTAATTTTTACACTAAAATTTAATTTAAAACTTTTAAACTGAACACTCATATATAAGCTAAAGTCGAGGAAATGTTTTGATTAAAACTTAATAGAATATTATTAATTTTCTAATCCGACGAATTTCCATTTGAATAAAAAAGGTACATCTATAATAGGCATAAAGAAAAAGCCTAAAATACTTTATAACTTGTATATCAATAGAGATAAAGCTCAAAAAAAAAAAAATTCTCAATATTAAAATTATTTTAGGAGAAATCGGTTTTTTGGATATACGTGTAGATCCATATAATTTACATTATTAGGTCTTAGTCAAGTAGGAATTAATATTTTTGCGCAATAAAATTTAATTAACTAGAGTCTTTTGGTTCCGTACGTCTAAGAACTCATTTTATGGTTTGAAGTTCATCATGGTAAATATTAATAACAAATTGAAAAAAATAACAGTAATAATATAATTAAAACTCTGTATTTTACCGGAAATATTTCGATATCACTGGAGCGGTACCAATGATTTAAAAGTGATACCAGTGATAAATAAAGGCACCAGTGGAGTGTTTATGACACACCGACACCTCTTTTGATAGTTTTATTTCATAATAGTTTTATTTATTCCTCTGCTATTATTTTATTATATAGTTACAAATATTGTTTGTCCTATAGACGTTATTTTATATGTTTTGTATTTAATAGCACAAGATAAAGACAGTACAAGAGAATAGTGTGCACGACCTTAGAAATGACACTCTCGATGGTACCATTATGCTAAAACAACAGAGCCGTATGTAATTTTACAATACCAATTTTGGTTGATGTTTAATGATGAAAGTGTGGGATTTCTGAACAGACGCACTCTGCACTAGTAAAAGTTAACCAGAAAATTTAAAGAAATAAAATTTTTATTCTAGGTAATTTTGACCGTAGCAAACCACAAATGTATCGACCGTTCTTTACACGTCTGGAATTTGTTTTAGTTAGAAGACCGACATTTAAACAATATACCTTGCGCACTAAATTGAATACGTGTATATTGTACACACACATTTATCTGTACTATGTCCAAGTTATAGATATATACATACATACATGAAAAAAAAATACAGATACGCGCGCGCGGCGACGGCTACAACGACAACCATGGCTTTAGTAAAGATTAGGAGATGGGCTAACAAAAGGTATGTTATGAGTATGTGTGTGTGTGTACGAGTGCGCACAAGTATATATGTGTATGTGTGTGTGGTGGGACGAGAACCTGTACCTGTTCGTTAAATATGAACCGGTTGTATATGTACAGATCTCTGGACCTTACACCTACAGGTTGCCCATTAGTCAACAGTTTGGTGCCAGCCGTCGTCTTCTGTTATGCTTACCATTTTGCTCGTAAAATTATATTGAAGTGCAACAAAACTTTATTTTGTCATTTTCTCGTACAAGATATTATACATTTTTAGTACATGTTACATTTTGATTATAAATAAATGTTTGCAGCAATTTGTTAAGCCTTAGCGGTGCGACGCGAGAGCAAGAAATTCCCATTTATCATTAATTTGGGTAATATATTTAATGAATAATTTTTTTGAAAAAGATCACTCATGCAGTAAATTAAACACGTTGTTTATTTGTAAGTTATCTCTATTTTTAAACAATATTACAAACAAATATTTTCATAAAAAAAACTATGCTTTATTTAATGTTTTAGAAAAACTTTATAGGTTAGTTATGTTTCTTCAACATTTTTTTTTTTATAATTCATAATTCTTGATAATTAATATTAGTTACAGCCAGTTTTGGTAACATTTTTTAAAAACATAATATATACTTTAATTTTTAGTAAGGTCAATTTATATTTTTAAATAATTTTAATACAGCTATAATATACTATGCAGCATTAAAATAAACTAAAGCCATTATATAATGTTAATCGTTTTTATGTAATTAAAGACGCAATAATGTCAATAGTTCACTTTCTAAAATAAGTACGTCGTCGAGCTGCTAAGCACATTACTAACGACCATTATTAACACGACTACGTTATTATAATATTATTTTAATTTATACATAATGTTCATTTGTAATAATTATTAAATTGCCTACAAGTTCGTGTTGTATGTATTTTAAAGTTTTATTTACTTTGGATTTTTATTTATTGTACTTTTATTCCAATGTTTTTTTATTTTTTTAAGTATAATACTTAATTGACAACTCGCACAACTTTCAAATGTCCCTGAATAATTGCCAAACAAATTTTAAAATGCAAAACTCTTTTCAGTTAAAATCTATTAATAACAATCGTGGCATGTACCTTGAGACTTACTGAAAATATATTTTAACTGCAAAATCTTAAATAATAAAATCAAATAGTTTCTTCGACATTGTATTTTAACGAGAACGTTTAGTATTCATTACGTTTCTACTATTAGGTAATTTATTTTGTTTGTTTTCCGCGTTAATTAAATCAATCATTTGAATAGAAATTAGTGAGAAACCGGTCACAAGACATTAATGATGATAATAATAGTAGTGAATAGTAAAATTTTTGATGTGATTAACTGTTATGAACATTTAATAAATTATTCACCAAAATCATTAAATTTTGTTAATCAAGTTCTGTTGTTTTTTAATTTTTAATCAAATCCATTTTTATCATACACCTTTGGCATACTTTTGAGTATTTTAATTGTATTTACAATATACTGAAATGAAAGGAAAAAACATTGGATCCTTCAACACACAGAACACATTTTCTACAAACATTATATGTATTTTGTATTATAATATAATACATATATATTTGTGCTTCATTGAAATGAATTCATTACATTTCACTACTGTATAAAAATTTCATAAAAAGTTTTCTTCAAGAACTTTGAAGTCTTAACACAAATCCAGAATCTCTAGCACAATTGAATAAACCGTTTTAATTAATTTTTTTTCAAGTCCAATAAGTTTCATCAATTTATATAATACATGATCAAAAACTAAAATTAATGGTTAATTGTGAATTTTTTATTGCTTTAATCAATATAGTTACATTCATAAAAATGCCTGTTACTGATCTTAGTATTCACTACGTTCTAAATCGTTGTTTCAATAATTTCGATTTGAAGTAACAGGTAAGCCGAGAAGTATTAACAAATTTGGCATTAACGAATGTATAAAAATGGTAATAATTTTTGAAATGTTAGACTGGATGCTTATGCTAAATCACCTTGGTAATTTTTAAATTATTTTAGTTTATTTTGTTGACGCATAAATAAAATAATAATGTAAATCACTTCGGTAGTAAGTTGTGAACAGATACCTAAAAAACCTGTAGTTAATATAGTAAGCACAAATAATTATATATTTTTATTCTTCAGTTATATTATGTTCCTAATAAAAAATACTTCTATTGAAAAAAGAGACATATATTTCGTATAACATGGATGCAGTCTTTCTGGAGTTGTTTTGAACATTTGTTTCTATCGTTTTTGTAGTTTCATAATTACTTTGTATCGTTTATCAAATTATTTTGGTTAATAATGAAATAAAAGTTATTTTGTTTTATAAAAGCACCTTTAGATTTTTAAATGTATTTATCTTTATGGTAAAAAAATTTTCGTTGTTAGTCTTAATATATTATAATAATTCATACTTACGATTTTAGCAGGTAGAGAATAATATTTTTAATAATTTAAAAGTTCTGTAGTGTTTTAAAGAAATTCATTTATGTGTGAACTTATTATTATAATTTATGTTAGTATGTAATAAAAGTTTAACGGATTCAATCAATAGCCATCTACGGGTAGCGGGTTTTTCTCTTTGGTTATCTAGCTGTATGAGTGTAACGTTTCATTGATTCTCATAGGTCTAGGTGACCGAAGTTAAAAATCGCACCCATGTCTACTAGACTACAAAACAACGGGGATGGATGAGGCGCTGATCGGACACTACTGTAGCAAAGAGCAGCTAGTTGTATTTAATGGCCTGATGGAGAGATTAATGGGATTAATGTTTCTCTGACAATACCTACTATAAAACTCCTGCAAGGTTGCCAGACATAAATGCACGCGGATACGTTTTAGTAATAATATATTATGATAATGTACCTACCTTTAGGGCGACGATACTCCCACTTAAGTATCACTATCGTCGCCTTGGGTACACAATACACCACTTTATTAAAATAATTTTTTTTTTGTACAGAACCGGATTCTATGTCATCTTGTTCTGGACAGTTATGGCTGCTGCCGCCACCACAAATATCGCTCTCCTTGGACCAGAATACGAATAACTAGTACGCATGATAAAAACTTCACCTCCAGACAGTAACACTGGTGACAATGGACATATTCGAAATTATACCCCATCATTTGCACGTGCATAATTTTATTTGTATTGTAAAATTTTGCTTATTTATAAATTACAATTAAAAAATTGTCCGTAGTCAAATTTAGCAACGTGTTTGTATTATATTCAGTTTATTCTTTTTAAAGTATCAGAATATATTCTATAAAAATGGTGATTTGAACGCCCACATAAATTTTTTATTCAACATGTTATATTAATCATGCAAAATGATTAATCCACCTGCTGGGTAAAAAAAATTGTGTTTTTCATAAATATTCTTTATTTAATTATTTTTTTACTGTAATTATATTCTTCATAATTATTCAAACTATTCAGAAATGTTTTATTTATTCATTCAAATTGTACTAAATAAAATTAAGTTAATAAATTATATTATTTTAGTTCAATGTATACAGAGTGATTGTTTGTTTAATTATGACTCACGCAATGTCTTTAAAAGAATACAGCATATATATTATTCTCGAAAGTCAATAATATCCTACATTCCACGATGTTCGAAAAAACTTGGTCTACCCCCTATTTTCCAAATAGCAAAGAAAAATGTCTAGAATATTCCTAGAACATTTATTTATTATATTAAAACATTTCTCAGATATAATCAGAATATTTTGAAATATCCTCACAATATACATTAGCAGCGAATATTCCTGTCTCACAATACACTTAAAGTATATTTCTAAAATATGAAGAAAATATTTTGTAGATTGTTTTTTTAAATTTAATAAATAGTATATTTCTTGTTACTTATATATAATTATGTTAAATATAACACAATATTATAGATAAATAATAATTATGATTATTCTTTATATACATCCACACGTGAAACAGATTAATATGTAATAATATATTATTAAATAAGCTTAATAACTTGACTATGATCAACATCTATCATAAGTTATAATTATAATTATATTAAATACTTTATTTTTGCTAAATCTATTATTTTTAAACAGCGATGCAGAGTAAAAACATTTTGATAAGATAAAAAAAGAGGTAATAACCCCACTCTAAAATTATTTTCTAGTAGTGCCATTAATGCCAAATCCAAATTTGACGATCTCATTAATTTTCTTGATGAAATTCTAATGTTGGGGGTAAAAACTAATTAATTATTTCGTGGTGAACTTTAAAATTTATTATCGGATTCAATACATTAAAAGGATTTTTTTTTTATTTAGGTAATGATTTAAAGAATTTCATACAATTGTAATAGAATCTCTACATTATTACGTTAATAAAAATTAATTTTGTACAGAATATATTTCTTTTACATTAATAATGTATATGTAAGTAATATTTGAAAATAATAATTTTTTTAACTATGCTTCAAATAACAAACAAACTAAAAATAAAAATGTTTACTTATATCCGTTATTTAATTATTATAGAAGCTAAGATGCTCAAATAAAATTTTATACCATTATGTGTGATGTACAAGTAATAAGAATTTAGTATTAAAGCTCAACATTTTTTTTGACTTGAGTTTTTGGTGCTATAATTACATATTATAGTATTCTAACTATAATGAAAAAAAATTGTTAAGGTTTTAAGTTTTATAGAACAATAAAAAAATACAAATGCGCAGATAAAACTCAAAAACTTTTAATTCGATAGGTGTGTAACTAGATAGATATTGATAGGTCAATTAAAACTGATAATAATTAGAGAAAACGGTAGATTACTTTTTTACGTATTATATTATAATACATAAATATTATATAACTAGATACTAATGGCATACAAGGGTGTTACTACAAGGAAGGAAGGAGTAGCTTGCCTATCTTATTAGTTACCTCAATTGGCCAACTATTTTAAGGACATCGTAGAAAATAGACATAAAAAAATATTTCAAAAATTATTTTTGTGCATTGTGGAAATATTTCAAATAAAATATATTTCTAATTATATTTATAAGATTTTGTCTCAATATTAATATAAAATAAAAACCCAACCCAGCACAGTGGGAACGTACCATAGTTGGATCCAGTATAGATTTAATCTGACAGTAATTATAAAAAACGCTTCCATGTAAATCTGAAGATAGTGTTTAATTTAAAAAAATTGGTGGATTATTCCAAAAGCAACATGATCTCCTATTTCCTTATTTATATCCTGATTACAAGTTTTATGATTTATAAGTGTAATATATTTATAACACATAAATATACAAAAGGAAATGGTGTTATTTAAAAAAAATATTCATAATTAAAATACAATTACAAAATATTGAACATGAAACATCGTTTGTATATAAATTGTACGCATCCCAGTTCTCATATTTTATTAAAGGAGCATGTAGTTTAACTGCTTTATTTGTAAAAAAACCCATCACAGGGGGGTCGCGGCACAGTGGTGACGTGGCATAGTTGGATCAAGTATAATGATATCTGACAGTGATTAAAATCACTATCAAAAATAAACGCTTCGATGCAAATCTTTAGATAGTGTTTAATTTTAAAAAAATTGGTGTTTTATTCCAAAAGCTACTTGATCTGCTGGTTCCTTATTAATATCTCGATTAAGATAAAGTATGTCGAATGAAAAAAGGTTTATTAAAAAATATTATTTCTCATAAAAAAATTGTGTGGATCCATAAACTTTTCAATAAGTTATAGCATTATAAAGTTAAATAAAAAAAAAAAAACCCAGCACAGGGGGGTCGCGGCACAGTGGTGACGTGGCATAGTTGGATCAAGTATAATGATATCTGACAGTGATTAAAATCACTATCAAAAAAAAACGCTTCGATGCAAATCTTTAGATAGTGTTTAATTTTAAAAAATTGGTGGATTATTCCAAAAGCTTCATAAACTGCTAGTTCCTTATTAATATCCTGATTAAGACAAAGTATGTAGAATAAAAAAGAGATTATTAGAAAATAGTATTTCCCATAAAAAAATTATATTGATCAATACACTTTTCAATAAGTTATAGCATTATAATGTTAAAAATGTAAAAAATAAAATTGAGAATTTTCACACAATAATAGCATTTGGTAGCCATTTTCACCTTGAAGATAAAATAAAGTCCGAAATTTTTTTTTTCCATGATAAAGTATATTACATTAGCTTTAATTTAAGATATATATAAAAGTGTCAGACTTTCCGGAACACTTTCAAAATTTAAGTTGAAAAAGTCAATTTTTTGTGAAAAAGTTGTCATTTTGAATCCCCCCCTGTAGGCAGGTAAAAAGTCAGATTTATAAAAAAAATATACCAAATGATAGGTAAAGACATCATGCATCTACAAAAAAAAGAATTATATTGATCCATACATCTTTCAAGAAGTTATAGCATTATAAAGTTAAAAATATAAAAAAGAATTTTTTTACAAAAATCGTATTTTTTTTATTAAGTTTAATGTCTGTTTTCACCATGAAGATAAAATAAAGTCCGAAATTTTTTTTTACCATTATAAAGTATATTACATTAGCTTTAATTTAAGATATATATAAAAGTGTCAGACCTTCCGGAACATTTTCAAAAGTTAAGTTGAAAAAGTTCTACTTTCTATATGCATTTTTATGTTTTGAATCCCCCCTGTAGAGAGGGAAATGGTCCGATTAAAAAAAAAAGTATGTCGAATGAAAGATCTATATAAATACTACTTCTCATAAAAAAATTGTAATGATCCATACATTTTTTAAAAAGTTATAGCACTTTAAAGTAAAAAATGTAAATTATAAAATCGAAAATTTTCACACAAAAATAGCATTCGGTAGCCGTTTTCACCATGAAGACAAGTCCAGAGGTCAAATTTTTTTTTTTCAAATTAAAGTACATTACATTAGCTTTAATTTAAGATATATATATATATCTTAAGATATATATCTTAAGTTAATTTTTTGTGAAAAAGTTGTCATTTTAAATCTCCCCCTGTGGGCAGAAAAAAGGTCAAATTTACAAAAAAAATATACCAAATGATAGGTAAAGACATCAAGCATCTATAAAAAAAAAAATTATATTCATATGTTCATTTTTGAAAAAGTTACGGCAGTTTTTAGTAAAAAAAATTGAAAAAATTTCGAAAATTAGCGATTTTTAAATTTGTAATTTTTTTGGAGGTTTCCCCCATTTACGGGGAACGAGGGAAATTTTTTCAATTTTGAAGGGTAATGTCTTCGACTAGATAC